GCATCCTTGCCTGACCAGATAAATAACTTGCATGTACGCCTGTAAACAGGTATAATGCACACCATATTGGTTCTTTAGATATTTTAACCCCTGATGCGTGAATTTCTGCAATCCTATAAATAGATTTTAACGCAAAACATTTTTTTCCAGAATAGCCCTATGCAGAGAAAAAGAATATTGTACAGATAGATGTTGTGAAGTGCAGTGTAAATTAGTAAATTCAAGGATGGATAAGTTGCAAAGAACTTGCTGCACTTTGTAGCTTAACACAGCATATCAGCAAGACTTCACTAACATCAGTATGGATGAATGTGTTAGTAATGCATTCTTAGTTTTAGCCACAAATATCTAATCGGAAATCTGGATGTGGGAAATTGCATTTTTGAACATAAATAAAACTTGTCATAGACATCCATGCCTGACATTTTTTAAAATAAACTCCTATTGTATGCTACGTATCAACCTATTTCTTATCTATTTCCGTATTTCAGTTTGAATTCCCATTGATTTGCATTTAGCTAAAGTTACATTTCTGATCAAATCTTATGAACCGCCAGCGTATACTGTGCTTTGCATGTCATTGTATCTGATGGTTCCTACAGTGATCAGGGTTTCAGGGACTGTCCAAAACTCAACTTGATAAGATGTGCTATATCTGCACATTGCGCCTTTCTCATGGCAGAGTCTTGCAAATTGAATTTTTAAATCCGCAGATGCACTCTGGTTGGTATTGAATTGTTTGCACTTCCACTTTGGCCAATCTAATGGCATTACCAGCATGGTATCACTACAATGTTTAGGTTTTGCAGATGGGGCTTACCACCCACTGTACTGCCGATTTGTTCACCATTTAGCTGAAAAAGCTGCACTTGGTGAAAAGTTTGTTTTGACTCTGATTAAGCTATTCATCGTATTGAATCTTTCACTTGAATTGTTATTACACAGAGAACTATTTCTTCTTGGACAAATTATGGTGATTACTATTCTGGTCAAATTTTACCTAAATTCTGGCAACAGATACTTTTAAATTAACCCCCATTTCTGCCCCACATTTGCAATGATCATTTCTAGAAACTGGACATATTGCCTAAGTTCATGCATCTCTCCTTTCTTTCACTTAGACTCAAAGAACTGTACAGCATGGACGCAGACCCTTTGGTCCAACTCGTCCCTGCCGACCAGACATCCTAAATAAATCTAGTCAGCATTTGCCCATATCCCTCTAAACCTTCCTATTCATATACCCGTCCAGATGCCTTTTAAATGTTGTAATTATACCAACCTCCACCACTTTCTCGGCAGCTCGTTCCATATTTGCACCACCCTCCTGTGTTTTTAAAAAAAAAAGTCCCTTTTAAATCTTTCTCCACTCACCTTAAACCTATGCCCTCTAGTTCTGGACTTGCCCACCTGGGGGAAAAGTCCTTGTCTATTCACCCAATCCATGTCCTTCATGATGTTATAAACTTCTATAACATCACCCCTTAGCCTCCAACGCTCCAGGGAAAATAGCTCCAACCTCCCCTTCTGGCTCAACCCCTCCAACCCTGACAACCTCCTTGTCAATCTTTTCTGAGCCCTTTCAAGTTTTGCAACATCCTTCCTATAGCAGGGAAGCCAGAATTGCACGCAGTATTTTAAAGTGTCTTCTGATTAATAATGTTCAGCATATACTTGTTTAACCATTACTTGCTGATTCTGGATTGCACATATCTATCTTGTTTTGGTGATATGCTTTTAAAGATCTTCAACCTTTTCTCAATAGTTGAAGAACTCCCCACAGATTATTTTACGTAAGCTGTTCCATAATTTCCTTTTGCAGCTGTATCCTTTAGCTGTGGATTCTGGTGCTTTACTCTTTAGTCCAAATTACGTGATGTGATCATTCTGAGATTGTTTGTTCCTGTGGACCCCATATGTCTATTACTTTTATTTTGTTTGCATCACTTGCAATTACCAAATTTGCATTGCTGAGCTTGGCCTTGTAGAATATTGTGATTATGAAAATAAAGTGAGCCATATGGGCAGAGATGGTAAAGTATTGGGAAGGAGGAAAGGATGTTGAAGGATAACGTGATGATAGAGGGGCAGAAAGTTGCTGCAACCATCCAGAACACCCATTTGAAACAGACATTAGGTTTCGTTTAAAAAAACCATTGAATTTGCCAATTGCAGTACCCAAAAAATGAAATTTAGGTTCAACTGGGGAGAGCTTACGCACTGGATAATTGTACCAGCTGTTAAGTAGCCTGACATGATGCTTAAATGGGTACTGCAGGCCACTTATTTCATGCCAACAATTTGCCTGATAGCATTTTAATGAGCTCATGGCCTTTGTTACATGCCTACCATGTCAGTGTAACTTGTAACTAGTTGCAACCATGTAATAAATTACTTGTTCAAAACAAGAGCCCAGTCTAGTTGGACGATGAGGCAATTTTCCTCCATCATG